CCTATAAAACAAGTTTCCAATAGATTGATAAATTTAATTTAAAAAAACAACTTGTTAAACAAATAATAAAATATATTTAATTTTATAATTTTGATAATAGTTACTATCTATAGACTAGATTGAATCTGATTGGTCTGTTTTTTTTCACTCACAATTTATCCTTAAAATGTTATGACGTGGCAGCTCTAGAGCGTTCTTTTTGTTATTCAACAAACAAAAATTACATAAAACTTAAAACCAAAATCGGGAAACATGTCCTAATCGGAACTGCGCTAATTATATTTTTTTTAAATTTTGTTCTATTTCGGGCTGTAAAAATTGACTCCCAAAGGTAAACCAAACTCAAAGTTTTTTTATCAAATGATTTTAAGTTATAGTTATATTAATAATATATTTATTATTAAGTAAAAACGTTTTTGTATTGTTTTTTTATAATTAAAATAATTATTTATTTTATAAAAAATACAATCCATTTCTATCGTTTTTTTAATTAATAAAATTAAATTAATAAACTATATATATTTAGTTTTTATTTTGATAATAACTCGATAATCAAAAAGTAAAATCGAATGCTTTATCTTTTCGTGTTATTTCATTTTGCAACATCAAATGATGTGAAGTGGTGTTTTAATAATTCCGTATTAAAATGTGTTTTACATTCAGAAGAATGTCTTTACAATTCATCAATAACACTTTTTAATAACACAATTTACTTTTCACGTTTCTTAGGTATCGTAAACTCAAATCCGGTATATTCAAAAATAGACGTGGACTGTGTGTATAACACCGAATTGTTTCTCATTAATTTTCCATCATGTTTTCTCGTCAATTTTACTTCTTCCAAAACTTCGAAAAAATTCAAAAGAACTTCAAAAAGAATTTCAAAAAGAACAACAACTGAAAATCTTCACATCATTTTCAATAAAAATTCTTCAAAATATCAAATTTCATTTTCTTCATCATTTCGTTCAATTTCAAATTCTTTTTCAAAATTTTTAAAACACCGAAATTTTTTTAATAAAATTTCCACACGACTTGTCACTTCCAAAAATTCTTTTTCACAATTTAAAACTTCGTCTTGTGAGAAAATTTCATATTGCAGCGAATGTACTCCAATCAGTGACAACAATGAAAATATTACAAGTGATGATGTTATATGTACTTCTTGTGAAACCAGCTATTATTTATACAACAACACCTGTCAGAAATGCTCGTTGACATGCAACACGTGCAAAGAGATAGCAACACAGTGCACTTCGTGTTATGAAGGAGTTAATTATTTAAGAGAGTACAAGTGCACACAATGCCAAAATTGTGCGAGCGGATTTTGTTATCAAAAAGGTTGCACTCAGTGTGTGTCAGAAAATTACTACAGAGAGTACCACGACTGCCTTCCCTGCGACAAATCGTGTAAGTCGTGTTACGGAAAGACAACCCAAAATTGCCTCTCGTGTTATAACGGTAGTTATTTGTTCAATAAAATGTGTGTTTTGTGCGATATAAATTGTGCATTAAATTCTTGCATCGACAACATTGGATGTGTCAAGTGTGTCAATGAAAGTTATGCAGAAAACGGCGTGTGCCATTTCTGTAATAACATAGAAAATTGTATTCATTGTGATTCAGAGAAAAGAATGTGTTTAGAGTGTACTACTAATTTTAGTGTAAATAGTGAAGGAGTTTGTGTGTGTAAAGACGGCTATTATTTATCTTCACAAAACGCGTGTCTGCCATGTTATACCAAATATTCAAATTGTAAGAAGTGTTACTCTCAAGACAATGAATATGACACTTTCTGTGTTGAGTGTTATACTCCATATATTTTGACTACAAATAACACGTGTGAAAAATGTTCTTCAAATCATTTTTTTGACAATGGAAAGTGTCGTTTAAACACTGTTGGTTGTTTAAAACAAATAAATAATAACACTTGTCTTATGTGTCAAACCAATTTTTATCTTCAGAATTTTACATGCAAAGAAAACACTGAAGAAAAGCACTGTCTCACGCAGTCGAGTGTTACATGTGAAGACTGTGGAAATTCAATTTCGGTGTCTGGAATGTGTATAAACGAAGAAAAATGTAAGTATATATATTCATCTTATAGTAAAGACTATTATAAGTGTTTTCAATGTGAAGATAACTTACTATTAAGTGATGATAATAAGAGATGTATAAATAAAAGTGATGATATAACACTGATACGAAATGACGTGTTATATGCATGTTTAATTGAAGAGTATTTAAATCAAAATAACAAGTGTCGACGGTGTAATGACAATTCTACAAATATTATAAGTCAATGTATTTTATTTAACTCAACTTTACAAACTATAACATGTGAAGAGAAGTTTGTATATGACATTCATTTAAATGAGTGTTATTTAAATGATAATTGTGTTACCATACAAAACGGAGATTGTGTGAAATGTGACACAACAACTTCAAATAGTTATTTACAAGAGAATAAATGTGTCACAAATAATATCGAAAAGTGCAACAAATACAGTGCAAAAATGTGTATCACATGTACTCAAAATTATTTATTGTCTATATCAAACACATGTGAAGAATACACTCTTTTTAATTGCGAGAAAGCAAATAGCGTGTCTTGTATACAATGTACTTCAAATACCATGCGAAGTGGAGATTCCACTTATTGTACTTTTCTTAATAATACTATCAAATATTTAATAAAGACATTTAATTCAAAAATAATTATTAACGAGTGTGAAAAGAATTATATTTTATATAATAATTCATGTCATGTGACAATGGATGATACCACTAAATCTACATCTTTATCTTTATGTCAATTTTTAACACCAAAAGGGTGTCTGCGGTGTTTCCCGACTTATTATATAGACCATAATAATAATACGTGTCAAAGTTGTTTAAATAGTCCATCACATTGTTTATATTGTAACAATCAAACTTTTTGCACAAAATGTGACACTCCTCAGTATTATCTCAATTCACAAAATCAGTGCGAATTGTCTTCTCAATTACAACAGAAGTGTGCATTGATGATGCCAAATAACATTGGATGTGCTCTCTGTAAATCTTCATATTATAGAAAAGGGGATGATTGTATATCATGTGACATATCCTGTGCCATTTGCATTGACTCTTTCAGTTGTATTACATGCCAAAAAGACTATTTTTATATTCAAAGCGAAACTCCTTTATGTCAGAATTACGACAATTTGACTCATTGCATTTTAAAGTCTTCAAATGGATGTGTTAAATGTGAAAATGGCTATTATTTAGACTTCTTTATCCCACGCTGTGTTTCTTGTCCAGAAATGTGTCTTTCGTGCACTTCATATTCAACATGCACTTTATGTGAAATTAATTTCATTTTATTGAATGGCGTCTGTTCACATTTTTCTATATTAGAAAATTGCGCCGCAGCCTCGAATAACACGTGCACAAAATGTAAAAACAACAAAAAAGTCTCAAAAGATAAACTTTCGTGTGATAAAAAGGTGAATATAAAATTGGCTATAAGTCTTCCAGTTGCTATTATAATACTATTAATAGTACTTTTAATAGTATTAATAGTTTTTATTAGAATGAGTGACAAATATAACAACAATTACAAGAAGATGAAGAACATCTGTGTATTTAAAATGAAGCACTCGAACATCAGATTCGCTCGAATATCATTGAATTTAGTTTCTAATATTCCACAAATTAGTTTTGGAGGCGAAAAAGAAGCAAATGAAAATAATGAAATTTCTGTGGAACAAGAGACTCGGGCGCTGTATTGTGTGGGAAACATTTCAGACGACAAACAAAGAGTTCAATTTAGTGTTTTAGAAGACTGTGAATTATATGAAATTCGGACTGTTCCCGAAATAGTTATATTAAACAGTGACGAGGCGTGTGAGTTTGAGATATTTATTAAGCCAAATTGCTCCTGTTACATCGAAGACGTCATTTTGTGTATTTCAGTCGACTTAAAAACCGGCGAGCAAACTTCGACGAAAATAGAAATCAACGCAAAAACAATAAAAACTACTAAACTGAATAATTCGGAGTTACTGGAAGACTCTAAAGTTGGCGAAGGATCTTTTGGTGTTGTTTATAAAGGCAAATTCAGAGACAATATTGTTGCTATTAAACGACTTAAAAACACTACAATGACTGAAAATGCCATTAAAGAATTTGAGAAGGAGGTGAGTATGTTGGACAAATTCAGATGCGATTATATCGTCCATTTCTATGGCGCTGTTTTAATACCAAACAAACTCTGTTTGGTCACCGAATTTGCTCAATTTGGCAGTCTAAAAGACTTGATTAATAAGACGGAAAATGTCAATAAAAAAGTGCAAATTACTTTGGAAATGCCAAGCAAAAAGTTGAAAGTAAAATATTTGTGTGACATGGCGAGAGGTATTTTGTATTTGCATAATAACGGAATAGTCCATAGAGATATCAAACCGGATAATTTACTGATTTTTTCAATGGAAGAAGCAGACAAATTCCACGCCAAATTGACTGATTTTGGAAGCGCAAGAAATGTCAATTTGTTGATGACAAACATGACTTTCACAAGAGGAATTGGTACACCAAAATATATGGCACCAGAAATTCTAAAGAAGGAAAAATACACAATGTCGAGTGATGTGTATTCATTTGCTATTACAATGTTTGAAACTTTTAGTTGGAAAGACCCATTTCCAAAAGTTAAGTTTGGATATGCGTGGAATGTCGCTAATTTTGTGTCAAGTGGAAAACACTTAGAAAAAGATGTAAACATATCAAATGAGGAATTCAAAATCATTGAAGAAATGTGGTGCTTTGAAGAATACAAGCGGATTAAAATTGGTGAAGTCGTGCAAAAACTTGAATTGTTGAATTTATAATGTTGTATTTTTGGTTAAAAACAATTTTATTATTTTATGGAGAAATTAAATGAATACCAGAAAAAGGAATATTTTCTAAATATTTTATAATATTTTAATTAACATGTTGTATTGTTATATTTAAAAATAAAAAGGTTTTAAAATTAATTTTGTTTTGATTTACCACTTCGGTGAGTTTTAATAATTAATAAAAAAATATGATATTCAAATAATAAAATGTGAATTTAAGTTATTGTTCATAGAAGAATAATAATAATACAAATAATAAGTTAAAATAAAAAATAATCATTATTTGTTTTGATATTTTCATTAATTATTATTTATGTTTAAAATGATTTTAAAACTTAAATTTTTTATTTATTATTGTTTTTATTATGTTTTTTTTATTCCAAATAGGTATATTTTCAAAACAATTAAGATTATTTTCGATTTAAATTAAAGGAATAACAACATCGTGCAGACAACCACCATAACCACGAACAAATTTTTGGTTCCATCAATGTTACAAACATGATCTCCTTCTGACATTCCAACACTTGGTTTCAAGCTATTTCTTGCACAACCGAAGAAATCAGTAACTACCTTCCCATCCAAATCCGAGTAACTTACAAACACTCCTTTATTTTTTAAAATCGACTGTTTTTGAGGTATTAAACAATAACTTTCAACATCCCAATTATAATAACTTTCATTTGAACAATTTCTGAACAATCCCCTTTGAAAAATAGTATCAAAAGACATTTCATTTTCTTTCAGATGAATCGAATGTGCATTGCCATCACTTCCATTCCAAGTATCTTGTAATATCTTCTCGTATCCCCCATAATAAACATTACTCGATATATTCCACGTGTTTTCCTCACTTTTATTAATAACAGCCGTGTACTGATTTAAAGTTGAGTAAATGAAGTTATTCTTGAATTGATTATTTCGAGTTTTTCCCTTCACAACACACTCGGATTTAAAGTCCAATGCGCCTTTATCGACATTCACAAAATTATTATTTGCAATGGTGATATCACTGTAATAAGCAACATCACTCCACCCCCAATATCCTATTCCAAAAGGTGCGCCTAACACTAAATTATTCCTCACAGTGATATTTGTCGTTGAAACACATTTAACTGGCCAGTCTTCATTGCCAATTCCAATACCATGAAATCGATTATCCTTTGAACACGAATAACGATGCGAAGTGTCATACCTCATTTCATTGTTTTCTATTATAACATTACACGAGTTGTCAACGTAAATGCCACACCAATTGTTATTATGTAAATAATTGTTTTTAACAACACAATTTGTACATAAAATGACGTCTATTGCTTCTCCCCATGCATTGATTATTTCATTGTTCTCAAAAACGATATTTGAAGACAAAATGGGCGCATAGGAGTCGATCGCCGCAGTCCCAAAACACTGAAGCCAACTGTCCGTTTTGCAATTTTCGTGGGCCAAAACACAGCCGTCAGCAAAATTGTTTTTTATTGTTATATTTACCCCCGAAGCAAAAATAGCCCAATTTGTCGAGTTATAGATGCTAAAATTAGAAATTGTCACATTCGTGGAATTGCGAGCACTCACACTTAGCCATGTCCCACTTCGAACAATAAAAGGTCCTTCAACTATTATATTGGACGAATTGAACACTTGAAAGACGTATTTATCTCCCGTAAACGTCTCAAAGGTCACTTTGGCATTTAATGCAGAGCGAATTATAATCGGCTTATCATATGTACCTGTCGTGTTTTTGGGGACTTCTTGTGGAGGGTATAAACCACTTGTAAATTCAATAATATCTCCAGGTGCTGCTTGTTTGCAAGCAGAAAGAAGTGTCGTGGTGTTACCAGTCAAACTGACTTGAATGACCTTGGAAACAGTAAATGGAAGTATTGAAAGAAAAATAAGAATAAAACAAAAGAAGAAATTGGTCATTTTCTACAATTTAGAATTATTAAATTTGTGAGTTGGTATTGTTTTAATTTAATTTTATTTATCAAATGAAATTGAAAGTCGAATCAATTATATATACAAATAAATTGGAATCATTCTAAAATTATAATAATTTAATTAGGTAATATAACTGTTTGAAGTTAATCTATTAATCAATTTAATTTAAAGTATTAATTAAAGGCTATTTTTTGGTAATTAATTAATAGATATATTTTGTTGTTTCGTTTATTTTTCATGTTTTACATTGACGGTTTTTACATAATTTTAAGCCATTTATTGTCCACTAAATAACGTTTGTATAATAACTCAACAGAATTTATAAAAAGAGTTTTTTTGATAAAATTATTAATTATATTATTGATAATAAAAAAAATAAATATTAAATGATTATAATTGATATAATTGTAATTATTTAAGTATAAACAATAAGTACTTAAATACTATACATCAAATATAAATAATCAAATTAACTATAAAACCAAGTCAAAATCAATATTTCATAAAAAATAAGTATATCGTTGATATATTATTATTATTATTTTTAAAAAAAATATTGTTTAAATGTTAATACAATTGAAAATCTTTAAATTGTTTAATTTGGTATATTTCAGTTTATTCTAAAACATCATATTGGGCACCACGAGTAGCTGATACGTCTTCTTGGAGATGGCAATCGAATTTGCTGAATTCTTTCTTGTCCATCTCGAAGGGTAATTGAGATATGTGAACACCTTTCTGAAAATTGTCCCAACTTTTTGTTTGTTCTAATAATAAGTACATTTTGTTCAATACCAACAACCTTTATTAACTCTCCAAATATTCTTCTTTTTTCTTCAAAAAAGTTGGGATCTAATTTGAGTTGTTCCAACATATCTTTTCTTGTTTGTGCATTTTCATAAAGTTTTCCAATCAAAATATCAATACTTGAATAAACATCATCAAAATATTTACCAAAACTTCTCGATTGATCATCTAAATTGTATCTACGATCGATCATTTCGGCCATTTCTATTAAAAATTCAGCTGAAAGTGATCTCTTTTTCAGAATAATTTCAAAATAAGGAAGAAGTTCGTTTTCATAAGTAAACATTTCTAGAACGGTGTTTTCAGTACCTTGAGCAAAATAGTCAGGGTTTTCCATTGCTGTTTCTTCTAAACGTTTTAATAGCCTTAAAAAACGTTTATAGAACCTGACAAATGTACCAATTCTTTCTAGTAAGAGTTTTGGTAACTCTATTTCTTTTTTCAAACGAATTTCTTCAGGTGTTATTGCAATAGTTAAAGCAAACAACAGAGAAAATTGAAATAACATTGGATAAATAATAAACAGTTAAAATTGTTTAAATATAGGACCAAACAACACAAATTAAACACAATATTTGTTAAATGTTGAAATGTCACACCAATAACGATTAAAAAGTTATTAAACAATAACTTCTTGAACATATAAATGTGTATACTTCATAAAACTTTAATAATTATATATTATATAAATTATAAAATTTTAATTATATATGTTATAAAGTTTTATTTTTTATTCAAAAATAAAATAAATTGTTAAAATTTTTCTTTCTGTTGTTTTTGTTGTCCAAGTCACCAACATTGTCCATTTGATAAGAATAAATAAAGTCATACTTATAACTATGTAATAAGAATGACTTTAAATACAATGTTTGAGAAATGACGTTATATCCAACATTGTCCTTATATTTTTCAATAACTGTAATAATTCGGGAAATTGCTAAAATAAATACAATTTATCATTTGATAAAAATTTACATTAATTTAAATTATTTCCAATCCATTATTATAAAAATATTTGTTGTAATTTCTATTTTTTCAAAAATAATGACTTTCAGAGCAAAAGCCAAATTAAAAGACCAAAGAATGTGTGAATGTTTGAATTTTTTAACAAACTAAAATTAAAAATTATTAGCAAAATCAAAGTATTTTAATACTATGAATATGGTATAGTGCAATTAAAAAGTTATAATCTAATATTTAATATTTTAACCACACACTTTGCAAATAAAAACTATACTAAAAATATATTAATTATATTACAATATATTTATTTAAAAGTTTCAATTAATAAATAACAAATAATGGATGTGAATTAAAATAAACACTTAAAAATATTAAAATTTGACTTAAATATTTCACAACATCAATTAAAAATCATGTGATTACGACTTGTACGTTACAAAGGCCGATTTTTTGTGATAAAATATGTTTACAATTAAGATAAAGACGTTATTTAAAAAAATGTATATTTTTGTATCAATATGTTTCCACGAGTTTCAATCAAGTTAATCAGTTTGTGATACAAACAGAAGTTTTTGAACAATACAATTTTGTTAATGAAAAAGTTGGGTAATTATGTTTGAATATTGTTATTAACTTGTAAGTGTTATTCGTGAGTCAAAAATGTATAACTCGCAGTGTTTTTTGAACTGTGTCAAATTGAAAACAATTCCAAAAATTCAATATATGAAAAATAGAATCTTCTGGTGTTGCAATATTATTGTCAATTTTAACAATTTTGAGAT